ATGCCACCTGTGCTCAGGGGGTGCCTTGCCCTTTGAATGGGCGACAAGCAAGCAGATAAAGAGCTTATTTCCTAAATCTTTTTGTCATTTATCCAAGAGTGAGATATTGAGAGAAAGTCAGTTAACTCTAGCCAGTAGCAGCTGCACTGGTTTTGCATAATTAATTATAATTATATGAAGCCAGACATAACTACTATCCATGATGATGATATTCTAATCAGGCAGGCTCTCATTTGAATTGCCCTGCAGCATTGAACTGTCAGCTCTGTCCTGACATGATAAAGGAGTGTCTCTAAACACCATTAGACATCTGCTCAGAGCTGTGCTGCACCAGCCACCACACACCAGCTATAGTCTCATACAAATCAATACATGTCTGTGCAGGATCAGGCTCATTTTTCTATAAAAATCACTTCTAAACCCAAGCACAGCTTTAGTCCAGACTGACACAAGCTCTTTTGGTTTTCTCTTGTTCATAATACGTGTCATACAGAGAGTGGATTCAGAGAGCTGTATCACTTAAGATCAAACTCTCATTCAGTAGAAGAAGAAATCTTTTTTCACAAATCTGGTCCAGTTCAGAGTGTTCACACTAAGGAGCTGGACCATTGATGCTCTGGACAAAAACAGAGCAAGAAATGGAAAAAAATCATTTCCTGCTTATTGCTCAAGGTTCAGTGCCTCATAAGCTTAATCAGAGTTTCATTATCTAGTTGTACTCTGATTAGAGGAAGAAACACCCCCCCATCTCATATATTGTTTTATGTGCAGTGTGACAGGTTTCCAGCTCAGACACACAGAGCAGAGGGCTGGACTCCTCAAGGCTCAGTATGAGAGCGTTTGCTGGAAGGTGTTGGGGAAGATTCCCTGCACGTGCTCAACAAAATCAATATAAATCCCACAACATGGTAGGGCAACAAAGCTACAAGTAAGTGTTAGAAAACCCTTAAGTGAAATTCTGGAAGATGATTTTAATCTGCAGGACCTGTTTTTTGTTTTGTTTTGTTTTTTTGTCTTGGGCTTAAAAAACAAACAAAAAAAACCCACTTTCCTCATTCAAGTAATTCTAATTAAATAAATAAATAAATAAATAAAAAGTCCTATATTCCACAAAATCTGAGTGTTTTCTGTTTGAGAAGAGAAGAAACAAAACACCACTCCAGGTCTGTTTGTGATGATGACAACATTATAACATAGATCAGAAAATATTATACTGTATATAGACCCTTTAAATGACAGAGAACAGAGACCAATACCAGAGACATGACAGAGGAAACTGATCATTTGAACCATGGGAGCAATAGCCAGGCTTGGGTCCTATGCCTGTGTGCGGTGCTGCTGAAGTGGTGACTATATGTTTGGCTGGCTCCTCTTGCTCTGGTTTTCAGACTTTTGCTGCGTAGCTGAAACTTAAGCGTGGTGTAGGAGCATGTATCGATCTGCTCTCTCTGATGGCTCACAGATTGCCTGCATGAAGCTCTCATCTGGAGCCAGGCAGCACTGAGGAAGCCATGGATTGCTATTGATTTCTATCTGATACAATCATTTCAATTGGGCTCAGATCTCCTTCCTGGTGCGCTGTGAGTCGGACCATGGCAGATATCTTTTAATCCCCCCTCCCCTGCTCTCCCCAGTCTCACAGGGTAGTCACCTTGTGTATTCTCATTACCACAAACGTATTAATTAAAGTAGGAGAATGAGGCCTTGTGGATGTGATGTGAGTCCTGTCTGAACCGTGCAGGGGTTAACACAGTAATCGTCTGCTATGCTATGTGTGTGGACAACAGGGTCATTCACTCTGATTGATTGGTTTGTGTTTTCTCCGCCAAATCAGACCACTTTATTGAACGGGAATGTCCAGTGAGCGTGTTTCATTTGCTTTGAGAGATGGATTACTGTCTCGAGAGTCCTGGAATCTTGGGCTTGTTTCAGTGCAAATGATTTATCATTTTTTGTAAGATTTTAGGGGTCAGTACTGTAGTCTCCTGTCTGAATATTATTGGAGATGGTCCAAAGTTGATCTAAATAGAACTTTTGTTTCTCCAGGGTGGTTTTTCAGTTACTTGGGCTGAGCATTAGTAGCTTGAGTCATCAGCCAGTTTCACTTCGTGGAAACCGTCTGACCTCACAGCATTAGCATTCTTTCACTCGACGGTAGGTGGGTACTTTTTTATTTAACCAACCGCTTCTATTTGGTCATGACGTATGTTATGTGCCAAATCCTGTAGGAAGAAGTGAAATAATCTTTCCCCTTGATAAACTTCACCAAACATTCTCTTTGTTCTGGCTTTAAATCCTCAATCTCTGGAATTGTTGCCAACACAGAATGTCTGGTTCGTCTAAGTCCATATCGACCACTTTGTTTACTGCGGTGCTGTACCACAAAAAGGGACCCAGACAGGCTATTGAGTTTTGAAGTCATGGCTTCACAGCTCATCGCTGATTGGCCGGTGTACAGTCTACAACTTCCAGGGTTCTTGCAAACCATCTAGTGTATTCCGATTCCTGACCTAGTCGCTGGAGAGAAATTAAATTGAATAGAGGCACTAGTTGGCAACTGCCTGGCTAGGGCATTAGAGCGATACAAATCGAATCGTGCCCTCATCCCTGTGACAATCTGTTATTTTAATATACAATAGAGACACCAACACTTTTCCCACCCTCTCCTCCTGTTGGTTCACCTCTGGCTGTGAGTGAATGACAGGTGAGTTTAGCCAATTGCAGTGAAGTGTGAAGTTTCAGAAGACACAAATGCCTTCTGAAATCTACTTCAATCAGCTTTTAATGGCACTGTTCCCTCAAACTTAGCTTACTCCATGTTGTCTGCATTTGAGGCTTGAGTGCGCAACAAATTCCTATTTTCATTTACTGATCTGATCTGTTGCTATTATTGTAAATTACTCCAGTTGTACATATGGTTCATCATCAATAAAAACATGTAAATGCTAATTCAGTGCGTGCTCTCATAAAATGCCACTAACAGACATGTGTGATTTCCATTGGATGCAGGACTAAGTGGGTTCTGCTATGGCCTGGCACAAGCTCTGACCCTTCCCATTGATTTGTCCTAATCAAGTGTGGAGCAGGAGGAGTCCGGAGGAAACCGGAGGAAAGGCACCTTGGGATTGTGTAGACAATCACAACAGCGTCCATCAATTTCTCCCTGACAGGGGCAGCTCCGACGAGAGAGAGGCCCGCGGAGCTCAGGCTGTATGGAGGAGCTGATAGTGGGCAGTAGGACAAAGGGTCTCAGGGGTCAAGCTCTTCATTATGGTGCGGGAAAAGTAACTAACTAGGCTATCTAACTATCAGACTAACAAGAGAGGCCAAGCTTTGAACTATAGGTTAGGCCAGGAACATGTCTGAGTGTGTTGTTCCAACGGTGTGAATAAGCCAACAACACCATGTGTGCATTGCAAGATAACATTAGGCCTATTATTTCTTTCCTTATTGTTTTTACGCGTTTTGTAGTTTTAACGTAGGTTTTATTGTGTTTATTCTTTTAATATTAATGTATTTATAGTGCTTTTGTAACTGTCTTCTTTATTTCTTTATTTAGCCTATTATACCGACTGCCTGGTAGAGCTGAAGATAGAATATATATATATATATATATATATATATATATATATATATATATATATATATATATATATATATATATATATATATATATATATATATATAATTTTTAATTTATTTATTATTTTTACATCGAGGCCAAACCTTCTTGTTAAACCTTGATCTCGTCAGATCTCGGAAGCAGGTCGTGTTCGTACTTGGATGGGAGAGCAGTGGGGATATCGTGTGCCAAACTGGCATTCAACTGTCGTTGTTTTCTTAGGTAATTACACTTCAAACACCTTGCCTAGTGTTGTTTACGTGACTGTTTGGGGTGGGCGGAGGGGCCCACGGCGCAGAATGGCAGCCTCTTCCATCAGTGTACCCCGAGGGCAGCTGTAGCTTTTCAGTAGTTTAACACCACCGAGTGTGGAGTGAATTAATAATGCACGACATTGTAAATCGGCTTAAAGAGTTTGGAAAAGCGCAATAAAGCAAGACAATCGCATTGCCAGCACACTTTGTTTTGTTTTGTTTGTGTTTTGTTTTTGTTTTGTATCAGTGAAGTGAATTTGGATGTTTCAAAGGACGGACAAGTGATATAAGGCAAACAGGATTCAGACACAATGTCAAAATGTATGAAGTAAAAGCGTCTCAACTAGGGTTAGAAATCACAATTCCCATGACACGCAAAACACCACATGTTGTCTTAATCTGTACATTGTGACGATTGCTTCTGCGAATGTCTAGATCCAGGCTGGGGACCCATTTTGCGTGTATCACAATCTTGCTATAGGTTTATTCTCAAACTATAACATTTGTGGCTTCCTACCGCCATCCAGTGGTAGATCTACAGACTACAAACTAAAGTTCACATGTAGGCCTAAATTTTTTGGAAAATTGTTCGGTATCTACCTAGCCAGAAATAAAACATTTATCTTAGGTATAGGCCTAGGTCTAGCCCAGGTGTTGTCACGAAGAAAACCACCATTTGAGGATTCACTCATTTATATAGTCTATGGATACACTACTAACGGGAAGGCCAAATGCCAAATAGCCTAGTTGAAGCCATTTCTATGGAATTTATTGAAAATCACATAATCCAATGAAGAGTGCCCAGTCCTGTCGTCACAGCATAGCAGCTCAGGTGAAAAGAAAACAAGGATCGAGGCAAAAATGGCAGCTGGAGCGGATCAAACGGCATCAACTCCAGTTATTATGTTCTATGCAGTCTATTTTAAAAAATCAATAAGTTATTTATGTTGATATTGGGGGCATATTTATTGTTTTTCTACTGTTCGTTTTTTGATTTCCGTGACACAAATTCAGGTTGTCGTGTCTCTCCTCTCTTGAAGGTGATATGCGTGTGTTGAGACAGCAGAGGGCGCTGCGGTGTATGTGTGGTTGCTGCAGTGCGCGCTGTGTCCGCTGGGCGGCAGAATAGGACAGTAGAAAGATGGCGTCTCTCCAACGAGAAGCAGCTGATCTCCTCTGCACGGCAGCACTAACGCAGATCTAATAAACACGACGCCCACGGAGCTGTCTGCGTTCACACAACCGCATGTTTGTGTGGAAATGATGTAGCAAACTAAAGAGGACACGGCGTACCTGGTATTTGTGTGTGTTTAGCCCGAGCAGAGCGGCGCTGTCAGAGGCGAGTGTCGCAGCAGCCTATGGCGCTTCCCTGCGCTCTGTTTATCTCTCTAGTACGGGCTTCATGCTTTTCCATGGCGCTGGACACGACAACAGCAGGCCATCCAACCCCTGCTCCGCGCTTTGAGGCACTCGGATCAGACATGAACACCAGTCCCTGTCAGTGATACCCCCAGTCCCGCCATCTCTCTGCCGCCTGGCCGCACGCCCTTTAATCCACTTCAGGAGCTCATCCTCCGCCTTGGTCCCAGCGACAACCATCACGAAGCTGAGCCAGGTAGGAGCTAGCCTGTTTTGTACAAACAGTCTTTGACACAGATCTGTGTCTGCTGCAGCTCTGACCTTTGCATTTAGTGCAGTGCATCGTCTCACAAAAAGTCTCCCCACTCAGAGAAACCAGAGGAGATGTTGTGATTTCCAGACACAGCCAGGCACCAGCAGCAGGCCAACTCCAGGGGCAGCTAGCACGCTCGGACCAGCAGGGGTGAGGCTGTCACGGGTCAGACAGTAGCGCCGTGTGAGGGGGAGACAGACACTGGCCCAGTGTGAGGGGGGGAGCCAGACAGACAGACAGTGCACCCATGTGAGGGGGTAGACAGACACTAGTCCCGTGTGAGGGGGGGGGGGGGGGGGGGAGACAGACAAACAGACAGACAAACAGACAGTAGAAGACCAGATAGCACAGGTAAGCCAGAAAAGAGGTCAGGTAAGTGGAGAGAGGAACATATATCTGCCAATTACTGGTAAAAAAAAAAAAAAAAAAAAAAATCAAATATGCTTACAAATAGCAGCTTTAAGTAGTTTATGCACAAAGAAAGTGAATTGAAATAACACTCATACCAGTGCCATTCACTCACTCATTTCCTTGTACAGCTGCTCTGACTCACACACTCCTTTTGTTGATCTGTTTCTGCTTTTGAACCAGCTCAGGCCTGTCACTTCTCTTCAGCTATAGGCCACCACATTTCCTCCTTTCTCATACATGCTCCTGTTTTCCACTGAAGAGTTGACTCTCATTATCCTCATTATGTGTGGCCAAACTTCCTTGTCAAAGCCTGATCTTGTCAAGTTAAACGAGGCCAGACCTGGTTAGTACGTGGATGGGAGACCAGTGGGAATATCAGGTGCCACAGTGGTTTCCCTGTGGGGAAAACTGCCATTGTGTCCATAGGCAAGACACTTCACCCACATTGTCTTATGCTTAGTATGAATGTGGTGTATGTTGGTCATGGTCGATGGGCGCAGATAGACAGCCTCTCTTCTGTCCGTCTACCCTAGGGCAGCTGTGGTAACAGTAGTAACTTGCCAGCCAGTATGGAGTGAATGAATAATGCACAAAATTGTAAAGTGACTTTTGAGTGTATGTTAAAGCCCTAGCTTGCACATAGCATAATATTAATATTATTAATATCAATATTAATATTAATATTAATATTAAGACATGGCAGGAATTTTGCTCAAGCTTAATTAAAGAGCTTAAAGCTTAAAAAATCTGATGTTGAATTGTCAAATGTAAAAAAAAAAAAAAACTGGGAGTAGACCGTAGCATTAAATAGACTGAATTGCAGAAATATAACTCTAGAAAGCTTTGTTTGAAAGATCCACAGATTTTCTGTTATTTTTAATATACATGGTATTTTGGCTGATATAGCCTTTATGTGGGAGAGTTTTATAGTGACCTTTAGGTCTTGAACTGAGCCTGGTCCAAACTCTGCAACGTTTGTTTGTGCTGTTATTTTTGTATCTTGTGTTGATGTGGGAGGATTGCTGCACTGTAAATGTTCCACTGTGTGTAGCCCCCCTCTCTCTCTCCTCGGTATTGCATAACAACATAACAGACTGTGTGTGATGGCTGAACTGTTCCTGTGCCCTGCCAGGGCTCTTTCTTTTGGCAAAACATTACTTTTCAAACTTCCTCCTTGTTACTTTTACTGAGGCATTTCTTGAGGAAGGAAATAGCAGTGTAGAGCTGGCAATAATGTGTCTAAAGATGGAAGCACTCACTGTTCTGGGGCTGGTACATACTCCCCTGCGTCATGTGTCCACCTTTGTATAAAAGACCAGTGCAATTAGTCATTTATGTTTAAATGTGTACAATAAATAAAGTTCCAGTCTCCATGGTGACCACTAAACAGCATTGAGAGTGTGAGTTGTAGCTGTTCTGAGCTCTCACCAACCACTTGTGTGTCCTTGACCACGTAAGTTTTCTTTTATCAGTTCTTGTTAACAATGCCTATTTGTTTCTTCAGTCTTAGCACAAAGGCGACATACAAAGAGCAGCAAACTGCCTTATTACAGTAGCTCACATTGGTTTGATACCTGTTTATTTTCTTGTTTGTGATTTCTTTGTGCCTATTTCTTCTTTATGGATGGTAATGTTTTGTGCTTTACCCCTGTATGTGCTACAGAAAACCAAACTATTATAATTCAGTATAACCTCTTCTATCAAAGCAACTCAGTCCATTTCACAGCTTCATAAAGTACACTTTAGTATGTTATGGCCTTGACTGCAGGCTGAAGACAGGACTGTACACGTTCAGTGCCTTGGAATATTTACATTTAACTAGCGTTATATAAATTCAGAGCTTGTTCTACAACAACTAGAGATATGTATGAACTCGACTGAACTGCAGGCTCCTGTGGTCAGTCATGGCAGTGACTGGACAATTTAATCTGCTTCTTCACCTATGACTATGTTGTTTACTATTACTTCTCCTAATCATTTTGAGAGCTTTTGTTGATTAATCGATGCACAATATTATTGAATACTGGTGTAATCCCTCATTCATCCAGGTAGGATCCATAGCATGTAATGTGAAAAAAAACAGGACCAAAAACTTTTGTCTATTTGACAGAATTTTAATTTTCTTTCTATGCACCTAGAATGTTGTGTGTGTTGTGGTCAGAGGGACCAATGGTGTAAAGGCACACAAATGTACCACTGTAACATACAACTCACTTCAGCTCAGCCTTAAGGCCTTCATTCAGCCTGTTCCTCAGAATCCTGGTCCTGTAGTGGACTTCCTGTAAACAGCTGAGTACTGCTGGGGACACTAAAATAAGCCAACAGTGACGCCCAGCCAACAAACCGGACGCTTTCACAATGTACGCCAGAGCCAGAGCCAGAGAATGTTCCACCTCATCCTCCTGGAGTTTCTAATAACATTAAGAATTAGCTGACTCACACTGTCTATTCTAAGAAATGAGGGTGCCATCAATTAAATGTTTTTACTATTGTATGTTGTGCTCTCCTGTGTTTTCCGTGGCAGGTGTGAAGCGGTGAAGATGACGACAGCGCGCTATCGGCCCACCTGGGAGCTGGCTGCAGACCCTCTGGTCTCCTGTAAGCTGTGCCTTGGGGAATTCCCTTTGGAGCAGATGACCACTATTTCTCAGTGCCAATGCGTCTTCTGTACACTGGTGAGCCACTCCAAACAGCAGCATACGACAAAGGACTGTAACACATACTGGGCTCATTAACATATTAGAAGTGAAAATAATATAAGAAAAGCTGCTGATTGTGAGTGATTTGAGATGATGTCTCCGAGTCCATGCTGAGTAACCAGGTCACACCATCCTCCCATGTGATCAGAGCAGTCAGATAATCAATCAAAAACGCTACTATGTTGTTTGCCTGGCCTTGGACTGCACCAAAGGAGAAACAGTGGTGCAGTCAAAACAAATGTAGTTTTATAGCAATAACAATGACTAACCAATCGTCTCAAGGCCAGTTCGTCTTCCCCTTCAGTTTCACAATGTTTATGTAATCCTGAATAAGAGAAGGGCAGGGGTGAGAGAGGCTCCAGTGACAGATCAGACCAGTCAAACAAATGTGATGGTGGGGGCAGAGGAACTCTATGTAATTCTGCTCTTATGTGTTGTTTTCCCTCAGTGCCTGAAGCAGTATGTGGAACTCCTGATTAAAGAAGGTCTTGAGACTGCTATTAGCTGCCCCGACTCAGCCTGCCCCAAACGAGGACACCTGCTGGAGAATGAGGTAAAGCCTCACATGTCACAAAGTGGAAGAGTTGGGAACGGGGCTGAGAGACATTCAGGGTATGGCGTCTAGTAATTTAGCATCAGCCTAAAAATTTTTCTATAACGGCTAACAAGGAGCCATGATATTTTTATGTGCCTATTTATCTTTCAAATAATATTTGACATTTTATAACTTTAAATGATTACAAGGGTAGGCTTTTAGACTTGTAACCAAACCACAAGATTTGTATTACAATATTGATATTGTATCATCACATTAAACAATACAATATATCGATATTTTTGATACTTTTGCACACCCCTGCTGTTTGAGTGGTTTCTGAGCTCAAGTCATGTTTGAGATTTTATGAGAAATGCAGCACTGTCCCAGAGACAGCAGAGACAAACAGGGCCTGTGATCCAGAGACAGGCTTCAGTGTGAGCTCATTGGGGCTCCACAGAGTCAAAGGGCTTTCTCTCTCTCTTTCTCTCTCTTGATCTTGTGGGCTAATACTATTCAGACTGTCACCTGCTCATTCTTTGTTGTCCTGATTTGCTTCAGATTGAATGCATGGTGGCCACAGAGATGATGCAGAGATACAAGAAGCTTCAGTTTGAAAGAGGTAAGTGATAATCAGATAATGAAATAGGACTCTGATCCTAACCCTAATCCCCTTTAGGAAATATAAAACAATGAAGTGTTTATTCAGTGAATATGTGGATCCAGCACAGTGGTAAAAAAACCCCACGAGTCTATTTTTACTGACTGCTGCGTGGGGGTTTACATAAAGTTGAAGAAAATGACAAGCCAGACAGGAAGCTAGACTTAGGCAAATGATAAGTGTCTGGTATTTTGCAGAATAAACAGTTTTCCCAGGCTTTGGCTGTTTCATCTCTGTTACAGCACACAGTGTGAACCAGGAGTGAATGGAGTTTTTTCTTTGGCCGTGGGTGACAGTAGATGTCGCACATGGGTGTGATTGTCATTGTAAAAATAGAATAATTGAATAATGCAACCTCATTTAAGGAGATACCAGTTGAGACTGTCCTGCATTTAGCTGTGGTCTGATCTAAAGTTTAAAGAATAAAAGCACTAACTCTAAGTAGAAAAGATGGACATTAATATGAGGAGTGGTGCTTCTCTGCGTTGTGTAGTTAGTGACCGCCGATGCTAGCCTTGTGCTCATGATGATGCTGTTGTAGAGGTGCTGTTGGACCCTTGTCGGACATGGTGCCCCTCGTCCTCGTGCCAAGCCGTGTGCCAGCTGCAGGAGACTGACTCTCCTCCCCGGCCTCAGCTCGTGCAGTGTGCCGTCTGCGCTCTGGAGTTCTGCTCAGCCTGTAAGGCCAACTGGCACCCTGGACAGGCCTGCCGCGAGAGCCTGCCCATCGCCACCTTCCTCCCCGGGGAAAACAGGTAGGGAGTCCTGACACCTCGAACATAAAGTATGCTAATGATCATTTATTCCAAATCACTGTTTAACTTGTATTACAACTCGCCCTTATGTAACAGATAACCTTATGTCATGTCAAAAGATGAAGATGGTAGCAGCTTCATTGTTACACTGTATTGCCTCACTCTATCTCTTACATACACATATATAATTCTGTCTAATTGACACATATATTTTCACACATATTCTTTGGCATAAACTCTAATAAAAGCACCATTCTTTGTGGGTCCGTGTACCATTCGTTCTTTTGAATTTCAATTAAAGACGAAAAACAATAAAATGGGAAACAGTTTGTTATTTCATTATTCTGTTTTAGTGTAAAAAAAACAGATTTCTATTTCAAATATTTAATTTAAATGTTTCAAATAACACCAATAACTGGTGCATATTTTAATTTAGATATTTTATTGTCTTCTAGCAACAGAACCTCCGGGGCAAAAAAATGAGAGTGTTCAGTGTTATTTTAATAAACTTTAAATTACATATTAGAAATAGAGGTTGAAATTTGTCTGGTTTTTTTGTGACAGAAAACCTGAATAATGAAATAACAAACTGTTTTCCCATTTTATTGTTTTTCGTTCTTAATTGAAATTCAAAAGAACGAATGGTACACGTACGTTTGTGCTTTTTGTTATGAGTATTATAACTGTTCTTCTAGCTAACTATTGTGTCTAAGTAATTTCCCTTGTGCATCAGTAAAGTTAGTTTAAACCCAAGTTGCTGAAAATGAACAAAAAGGCAACATTAAATATTATCAGCATGTACCTTGAAGGAAGTGTGAATACTTTTACATGATGGGATGTGTACTTATCAAAAATGTTTCTTTTTCACTTGTCTCTCCAGCTCTTTATATAAGAACGAGGAGGATGATGCTCCTATTAAGCGCTGTCCCAAATGCAAAGTGTACATAGAGCGTGATGAAGGCTGTGCACAGATGATGTGCAAGAACTGCAAACATGCATTCTGCTGGTATTGCCTGGAGTCCCTTGATGTGAGTCTCAGCTTTTACTTTAGCCTTTATCCTTTATCCTGGTCTCTGTAGGACACACTAAAATAAAAGTGTTCATGAAAATAATATCATTTTTAGCTGAAGTTAGAGTTAACACAACCATGTGGCTTGTCTGTCAGATCTGAAGTGACCAGTCCTTTTACAAAGTGTGAATGTACTTCTGAGAAATGGGTCCTAGGCTAGAAGTATTGAGTGGGCAAACTGTAACCTTGTGCACAGATTTTTTATAGTTGCTGCTGAAGTTTCCAGTCAAAGCTCTATTTTAGGACAAATACAACAGGGTCAAACAGTAGCATTCATGAATTTCTAAAGGTAAAAAGAACCAGCTGTACTGTAGTTTGTAAATTTGTGAGTTGGTAAGTGCAGCTGTCAATGTCTTGATGCCCTGACTGAACTGTATGTGCCCTCTCAGGACGACTTCCTCCTGATCCACTACGACAAAGGGCCCTGTCGGAACAAACTGGGCCACTCCCGGGCTTCAGTCATCTGGCACAGAACGCAGGTGAGACATGGACAGGGAGGGCACATGTACACTTCCCTAACAGCACCACTATGTGAAATGAGCTAGAGCAATAGTGTGCTTTTTGCATGAGCCCAGCCTGTTTACAGCTGCAAATGATCAACTGACACAACACCACTCCAGATGAGTCACTTTCTAAACACACGGACCAGTATCAGATTTTTCAAACTATGTGGTGAATAGAAGATTACTGTAAGGAATTCTCTGTATTTGGGCTGCCCCACCTGGGAGAAACCTACCCAAACATGAGCATAGCATGCAAACGCCACACAGAAAGAATGCTCACAATCTGCTTAACCATTAGACTAACCACTGGATATTGGGCTTGCATTATTAACACAGACCACCTATTCTCCCTCTCCCCATTCACTCACTTATTGCATCTTTCCCGACCACTGCAATAAGGTGTGGCACGTTGATTATTAAAATAATATAATGCACGGTCAACTTAATTAAAAATACATAGCTGTCTACCAAAATAATGTATTGCAACCCAATCTGTTTTAGAATCAACTGTTATATGGCGCCCTCTTCTGGTCCCAGTTTAATGCCCACTTTCCTCCAATACATTTTTTTCCTGCACAACACTAAGAACTTTGTGTGGCAAAAGCAGAATCAGTTGTATGTTACTGCTACTGCTCCAGTCTTATAACAAACATAAACATCTACAGATCTGCTTAATATTTCGATTGCATCTGGCATCTAAAAAAGCAAGTAACAATAGAACACCAGATACACAACTGGAACACTGCAGACTACACACACATATATTACTAACATACTTTGGGATAACACACAGTGATTTCTATTTAAATATACTATTTGAGCAAAACTGGGAAAAAACATTATTACAAAACAGCAATGTAGGTTCAGATTGTGTTTGAGAAGTGTGGTGTTCACTGAGAGTGGTAGGACATTTTTCTCATTTATAAACTGTGGTGCTTATGTTTTCTTTAAGTGTTTATGTTTTTTGAAGAAATACTATATTGTTCAAACGTACATAAATTCTAGACTACAGCTGCACTTTCAATAAAACTTCAGACCCACCCACCAACATGACTGCTTTCTTTGTGCAGGTGGTGGGGATCTTTGCAGGCTTCGGGCTCCTGCTCCTGGTAGCCTCTCCATTCCTGCTGCTGGCCACGCCCATTGTGTTGTGCTGTAAATGCAAGTGCAATAAAGGGGATGATGACCCACTGCCCACCTAACACTGGCAGCTCTCTCCAGACACTGCTGTGTTTCTCCCTCCTTTTGTTTTCCTCCACCTGCTTCATGCGCTTCTGTTTGGGCTGTGCCACGAGGAGCCGGGCCTCATGACCGAGGTGAAGGTTGGAGCTCGTCTGGAGACTCTGTGTGCTGGGCTGTAGGTGGATTTGGGAGATCAGGACAGGACCATGTCCAGGCCCTGGTGTGACCCAGTGATTACATCAGCAGATATTTTATATGCAGCATTTCTGTTCAGAACATCTACAGCTCTTCTCCACCACCACACTTCGATGTAGCATTCGAGTCTCCCTCTGAACAGGTGGGTGTGAGGTCATTAGCACACAGAAGATGGTTTTACTTTTGTCCTGGCAGTGGCGCTCTTGTTCATGTACAGTTCTTTGATGATGTCATTATTTTAAACTGGCAGAACAGCGGACAGCTGTGTTTCTACTCGAAACACTTTTAAATGGTTCAAAGTTCAATTATTTTTTATTCTGCTGTGTTGGAGAGTGCTGTTTGTTTCCCTTGGGCATCTCTGAAGTATGTGGATCTCGAGGAGCACACTACTTTTATTTCACACGTAAACAATGTCAGCTTGTGTTGGATTGACGGACAATATTTCACTTTACGGTTTTAAATCTCTAAGTCCAGTGCCATCTTCATGTGTTCTTCCTGTTCTTGCCCTGAAAGTGAAAACCAACACACAGATTTTGTTTTTATCTGACTGGCCGTTTTTTATGCTATTCAGTCCTTTTTCCCTAAACCAGAATTATTTTAAATGGCAGAGAAAACCAAAACAGAAGCATACCTTCATAACAACATAACCAGGTCCTGGTATGGATCTTACAGAACCAGTTTTGTACCAACCATTCTTTACACTATTGTCCTTTAGCCTGCACTGTGTTTGTTTGAATGCAGTAGAAATGTGTTAATGAAGTGCATTACTGTTGGAGCAGCCGAATACATGTCCCCAGTTCATACCTGGCAGGATTAGCCAAATAGAAAAAAGTAGCCTTAAAATGAGACTAGCCAAAACCTGGCAATTTCCATGTGGGGTCTGAAGTTTCCCAGGGAAAGCCTGTGGATGCATGTGCACTCCTTAGTACTATAAACCCTTTATACTCCTAAGATTGAATGATGTCCTTCAAATGCCTCTGATGATGGCTATAATCTACAGGTGTTTTTTATTTGGGTTGTGTTCAGTGAGAGTTTCCAGATAAGATGTCTGCATTGTCCCCAGACACAACATGAGATGCATAATCTACAGCACCCTATAGCTCCAGCTGCAAACTTAACATTGCTACTAGTTCGTGTGAGCCACAGTGAGCCTCCAACATATTCAAAACTCAAGCTGCTTCTTTTCTCTGGCTAACTCTGTAAATACCGATTTCACAAGAATCGTAAAAAATATGCCATTTTGCATTGCCGCTATTTTGACAAACCTGGTCAAATTGTGACTGATACACAAAGGCAAAGTCTAATCCTTAGCCCCTCATCTCAACATACAGTATATTCCATCATGTTACTCTGAGTCCAGGCAGTTATACAGTGGTGGGCTGCTGTGGATGCTTTTAGGTCATTTTTGAATATGTGAGGTATGTGGTGTTTTGTTTAGATACAGATTATCTAAAATGTTTACTGTGTGCCACATGGAGCGGGTTGGAACAATGTACGGAGACTGGTCGTACACATTGCTTATACTGCCACGTGACGCAGAATCTTCTGATATGCAACCTTCCCCTACAGCAGGGCCATCCGTGGCACAGCGCTCGGACACTCCCAAGGGCTGCAGCACAACTCCTCCTCTCCTGCACTCTCTGCCCCCTCTGAGCCTGTATCACTTTGTCTCTATGAAATCTGTTGGTTGTATAGGCCTACCTGTTTGTAAAATGGCAGTTTTGTTCATTATAAACATTCGACCTGTTTAAGTGTCTGTGTTTTTTTTCTCCCCCCCATTCATTGCTGTGTCATCTGAGACTGTATTTGAAGTTTAGCCCAATAATTTTGTCAAATAATGTTAAACAGGTTTCTCGAGTAGAGAAGAGTATACTGTTGCATGATAACTAACTTAAGGGCACTGTGACTCGTTGCGTTATGCAGATGGTTTGCCACAAGAGGGCGCCAGAGTGCTTTAAAACGGCACACATGTCTTTACAAATATCGACACGTCTCATCTGTGCAGGGTTCACTTGGTACTTTTACTTGTTACAGTATTTATAAACCAAACTAATTCATGCTTTAAGTTATTTGCGGGTATTACATTTCTAAGTGAAAATACCGGAATAACAGAAACCTGTAATAATTCAGCAAAAATTACCGTATTTCTTACAAATGGCCCATTATGTTTTTGGTTACTTTGAGAAGGCAAGTCACTTGTCCAAACCACGCAAAACCACTAGTACAGACATGTCAAACTCAGGCTCGGGGGCCAATTTTGGCCCACGATTGTTACGATCCAGCTCGTTTGGGGTGAGGGCCGTAACAACGATATAATTATATTTGGTCTCGAGGTCATATCAAATATGTATTAGAGCTGGCCCGCCGGCTACAGATAGACTATAGAGACATTATTTATTTAAAATGTTGTTATTATTTTATATTATGCTTGTTCTGGATTCAATGTTTAAGCAAAACTATTATTAAACATTTATTTTAATAAAAAAAAGGTTTAACAAAAGAAGAGAAAACATGCAGATGTTGTTGAAATTTTTCAATAAATATTTAGTTTGGCCCACGACTTATTCCCAGTTTTTAATTTTGGCCCTCTGTGAATTTGAGTTTGACACCTGCACTAGTAATATTCAGTCGTTTTAACCCTTTCTCAAACCTGACTGGATTATCAATTAGCACATAGCGCCCTCTTCCGAATCCCTGAATAATCTATGAATGTCATGCATCTTCACCATTATTTACCTAGTCAAATCGCTTGCTTGAGCACAGACATAACATTGAACATTGACATAATTACTGACAGGGCATTCCGATATTTCCAATGTACATACTTTGTTTCAGGTTGTTCCAATGGAAAAGTGTGGCCAAGTAGTCATGTCAGAATTTTACTTTCTGAAAAACATACCTGGTGTTGTGTTTTGTTTCATTCACACATGTAACCCTTTAATATTAGTCTGTCTACAACTCTAAAGCTCAACATGCTCTGTTCCACTTTGTGATGTCATAAAGTGGTAGTTTTCATGTTAACAGCTACTGCTACCTACAGCAAGTTGGAAATTCCAGGGCTGAAATTATCCAAATGATACAAGTCAAGGTGTATGGAGTTTAGTAACACACTGGAGCACTTCCTGTATTAGGCCATGACATCACAAGATGGAGTGTTTTCTGTTTGAGAGAAGAACTCGGCAGGGTTTGTGTGTTAAAGGTATGAATGAAACAAAACACAACTCAAGTTGTGTTTGTAATGAGCAAGCAACACTATAGCATAGATGAGAGAGTAGAGTATTATGGGCCCTTTAAGAGCACTGATGAGCTGTGGACCTGCATTAGCCGAGGCCATTTGACTGCACATCATATAAATGACCACAGTAATTCATTGTCATTTCTGCACCTATGATCGGTGTGCATGAGATATAAATTGAGGGACTTCATTATCACAAGTGCTGGAGGGGTAAGTAACATATAACAATGTGAATTTTGTAATCTTCTAATTTATTTTTTCCCTTGTTTGGCGGGAGTGTGCATGCATACAACTTAGGGCTAGCTTCTTGTTAGCCTTAGAAATCTTGTTCTTGCGGCAAATAGAAATAGACTTTAAAGATCCTCAATACATTGCAGCACTATTTTGTCATTGGAAGACCACGGTTTGGTGAGTCTTTGGTTGGTGAGTTGTTGCATGCATTAATGTTTTAATTTATGTTAGAGGTGTGCTATAATCTTGTGTTGAGCATGTTATGGCATTGAATGCCATTTGTTTTCTTATTTTCCATTTGTGCTCAACAAAGTCAGATGATAAAGGAAAAAGAAAACTATTTTGGTTGTCTTTTGTACTAAGGTTGCACTTACATGCAGGATTATTGAAACATGCAAGCATGAAACTACTCCATGTATATTTTTGACCCATGACATGGTTAAGAGCTCAAAAAGTCAAGTCTGCAGAATAAAGAATACTGTTGTTTGTCCTTGAGCAGCTGTGGCAGCTCTGGCCACAGTCGGCGTCTCTCTCAAATCTACCTCTTCACAGATAATGAAGCTTTCATGTGACACTGGGATCACATGACTTCTTTATTTTAGTCTGTGCAGATGTTAGCCTTCAGACACAGAGGTATTTTTAACCAGTGAGACAGATGCCTTTTGCAACACCCACACAAACAACACCACAACTTTATAAAGTTCAACAACTGCTGCCTATTGCATTGCACTCAAATGAAAGAAGATGTAAAATATATCTATCTATACATTTTATATATAATATATATATATATTAAAAACAGGAATTATGTTTAAATCTTGTGCTCTATAAGCAAGTAAGCTGAAATGACATTGCAGATTTTTCCAAAGTGAGGTAATTTTCGGAGCTTGTGTAGTTGCAGACATGGTCATGCAGACTGCAGCCAGCACATTGTCCCGCAATTAGTCCAAAAGCGAAGCTATGCGAACTGTTGACTGGAGATCCTTCTCAGTCAGAAGGCCAAGCTTCAAAGATGGCAAGCTTGGATAGAGGGAAAGTTCCGCAAATGGCCAAATGTCAATAATTAGTTTGAACTGTGCATTTTTGATGAAGCCAGTTGGTGTGAAAGGGTTTGGGGCAGTCACAGGGAGCTGTGCCTCTGAATGTAAATGAAACAAAAGGTGGGAGTTCACATGACAGCTTTGGAAGGCCAGGGCTGCAGCCGTCACATTCTTCCGAGCAGAAGCACAGTGCACCAAACATTGGCACATGGCGAAGCGCTCAGAGGCAGCACGAGCAAAATAACTTCTGTTCCAGGGAACAACAGAGCAGGAACAAACACAAGCCCGCAACTTTCTGCTCCTTATTATTCTGTGATTTCGTAATCAAGAGGATGGGTTCTGATCTACAAACCATAGACAGCTGGTTCATTTCCACTGCCGGGCCTTGTGGGAGATGTAGTTTCTTCTCTCAACGACATATGCAAATCCCAACTGTCCCTCCCCTCTCGCTCCATAATTGCCGACTTTTCAGTAACAGAAGGAGGCCCATTTGTGAGCGCGTGCTGCCGTCAGGGTCCGGCCTTCTTTCAGACAATAAATAAAAGATGCCGAGTTGGTGTGGAGCAGTGTGGCAGAAGGTGTGCACAGACCGCCAGGACTGCACTCCCCTTTCCATGCGCCTCAAACGCACTGCATTGTGGGCTGTGGACTGTGCTGCCTGGGCGTCCCTCTAGTGACATGTAAAAAGCCGGCCCCCATCTGGCCAACAGATTTGAGTGCAGCCCTGGAAGCCTTGGCAGACTGAGACAGGTGGACGAACACAGTGCCAGTCTGCTCCCCACTCACCACACGCAAACTTCACCCTAACAAGCTGTGGCACTGACAAGATATGTACGCATTATCAATCCATCATACTGCTATCTAATCTACACTTAGTGAGGAACATCCTTGGTATGGTGTAGATCAATGCCTAAGATGTGGTGCTTAGCATCTTCAGGGATTTATTGTTTTGGTCCGTGTAAATACCTAAATATGCCTGCACAGGCCATAGCTATTACCCCTTTTAACTTTACTTTACCTGGAATCATGGTCAGGGCAGTCAGTTGTGTAGTGTCCCCCTGAGGCCACAGCCTGAGTGAGCTGTGATGGGGTGACACTGGGGCCTGACTGGGGGTTCGCTGATACAGTGCTTGTCCAATGGGCAAATGAGTCTAATATAGTACAATGAGCAGCCTGCACTCTGCTTTCTCAGAAGACAAATTACCCAAAACAAGTTCCATATGTGAGCTGATCAAATTTGAAGATTTTATTTGATGTATTTATTCTTAATATAACCAGGGCAGTTCAGGGGAGACCCTATTGTACATGTAAATAGTATAAGGGGAAATGAGAGAACTGAAGCTACAAGTAAATCCACCGTCTACTGCCCATTGCATAGTGGGGAGTGACATAATGTTGATGCTTTGACATGTCATTGAGGTGTAAAAATTACTTGTCTAGAAACAATGCACTGAAGAAAAAGCCTAGTATGTCCAACAACTGTTGGGCATACTACAGATATTAATTACTGCTTGTGTGCTCCAGCTCAATTAGAACAGCTCAGTGTTTTTTCCAGAAGAGTGAGAAAGGAGAAGGAGTCTATTATCTCACTTTGAAGGACTTAAACTAGCTTTTGGAATGATACTGTTCTCTCCTCTCAGTCATGTAAAGGCTGCACTAGACTGCTCTCACCTGGGACTGGACAGGAGGCCCCATGTTCCTGTGTGAGACATTTGTTTACGCTGCATCTTGACTGAATATTGGTTCTTCCTTCAGCCTTTGATTCTGTTCTGCTTCTCAATTCTTTATGGATCCGCAGGATTTCAAAGAGCTGCCTCCTCCTGCAGGCGGAGCGTTGGCCAAGTGTGGGATAGGGACTGCCCATCAGAGGGTGCTTCTATCAGCAGGGGGCTGCCTGTCTCCAATTCAGGTCAGCCTTGGCTCAGACGAGCCACGGCGCGCCCTGTGATCGCAGTAAGCACGCTTGTTAGTGGAATTGATAATGCAGTCATACACCTGGGTCCTCTGAAGTTGGCATGGCACTTTGAAAAGGGGCAGACTGGAGCCAGGGCAGCCAGTTAGCGCACGTGTGGAGCTGAGGAGAGGAGGCAGAGATGGGGAAAGGTCCTTTTGGCATATGACAAAACAGAATAGATTTCAACAAGCGACCTAGAACACTGTGGAATTCTACTAATACAGGGCATATGGCAAGGAATCACACACCGCATAACAACTATCAGTTTGCTTCTTCACAACTGATTCATGT